TCTTTCTTTCTTTCTTTCTTTCTTTCTTTCTTTCTTTCTTTCTTTCTTTCTTTCTTTCTTTTTCTTTGACAGGGGTTCTCTCTCTGGCATTGCTATCCTGGACTTGCTTTGTAGACCAGCCTGGCCTCAAACTCACAGAGATCCACCTGCCTCTGCCTCCCTGAATGCTGGGATTACAGGCATGCACCACCACAACCGGCTCACCTGTTGAACTTCTAAGAGCCCGTTTCTCATCAGTGCAAAAGGGGTAAAAGCCACTCACTGCTTGGAAGACTCAGGTAGTTTCTAGGAAGTGTGTCCATAGTGTGTCCCATAGTGTCCAAAACTTTAGAGTTCTACAGTGTACACATTCACTGACAGATAATGCTTTTTTAGAAGACAGCACTGAATCTTGGATTTTCTGTGATGTGTATGCATAAATGCAGTGTATATGATACCAATAAGGAATCCTTAATTTACAAAGTAAAAATTCAGTTCCTAAGAGATCTTTGAAACAAATAAACAAGGAGAGGCTGACCAGTGGATAGCGGCTTGACTGCCGGGCAAGTGTGAGGATCTGAGCCAGATCCTCAGAACCATGTGAATAATACAAACTAACAAAATGCCAGAAACAGGCATGCCGGCATGTGCCTGTGACCCTACTGCTGGAGTGTGGAGGCAGGTGGATCCCCACACTTCTCTGGCCAGCCAGGATAGCCAAAATGGCTCCAAGGTTAGTGAGAGATCCTGTCTCCAAAAAATAAGATGGCGTGACAAAGGAAAACAACCTGATGTTAGCCTCTGATCTTTACTTGTACCCTCACAGACAAGTATACCCGTCAAACAAACCATAAATAAACCCAGGTTCATTTTCTCCCACAAAGCGGAAAACACTAAAATTCCCTGTAAGCCTTATTTTTTTCAAATAACCGGAAGAGGCAAACCTGCCAGACTCCTTGCCTGGTCCACTGGTAGGCCTCAATGAGAACCTCATTTCTCTTTCACAGTGAATTTGGGACACTGTACTAGTTTTTTTCCTGTTGCTGTGATGGAAATGCCATGACCAAGTGTTTACTTTAGCTTATGGTTCCAGAGGGTTAAAGTCCACGAAGGCGGGAAGGCATGGAGCAGAGGCAGGAAGCTGGCTGACCACACTTGATCCACACACAGGAGTGGTCAGGAAGTGGGGCAAGGCTAGGAAACCTCAAAGCCCACCCCCAGTGACATACTTTCTCTAGGAAGGCTCCACTACACAAATGTTCTATAACCTCAGAGAGCGCTACCAGCTGGGAAATAAATGTTCAGATACCTGAGCTTGGGGGACACTTTCCATTTGAATGACCATCAACACCTATGGAAAATAATTATCCTTATAACAGTCATGTTGTATTGCTTCCTGATGTTTTCTAAGATCAGGATAAGCGGGTCTTTTCTTATAGATTAGAAGTTGGTGTTTGGGGTAAAACTAATTTAGAAACTGTCACATTGTTCTTTTTAGCTCTGTCCGTGCAGAGGATGCACTGCTAATGTCCCTGGTGAAATGAGCATCCCAAGTTATTAAAAGTATCCATCTCAGAGACACAAGAGGAAAATCCCACACCTTCTAAAAAAAAAGCTAGATAGGGGCTGAAGAGATGGCTTAGTGGTTAAGCATCCATGAGGACCCAGGTTCAGTTCCCAGTATGTATGTGGTGGCTCAAAACCATAAAATAAATAAATAAAACCCCAAAGCTAAATGTAAAATGCTAAGCTTTGAAAACTCATCACCTTTGTTTCCTATCCTTAAAAAAAAAAAAAAAAATTCTAACCCTGAATTAAAAGCAAAGCTGGCTCATATAGCCTTTGAGAGCACATATTAAGAGTAAAACAAAACCAAGGCACCAAGTTCCTTCTCAACAGAAAAGCGGTTATGTAATTTGTGAGTGATCCAGATGTAAAAAGCTTAGGCCACAAATGTGATAAAGCTGGATGAGGGACAGTGTGGCCACCATGTCATACCTGCCCCATTCACCGTCAGTGAGGTGCTGTAGGTGTTGATGATTGCTTGCAAGCTGGGTGGAGCCTTCCTGGTTCCAGTGAGATCTGGAACCTGGCCTGTCTTCACTGGGTCTAGCATGAAACCTGATCCATCCTCACCCAGCGGCTTCCTCTCCTTTGGAGTATTGTAGATGCAAAGATAAGAACCTCTTTCATCCTTTGGTCTATTACCAAATTTATGAAGGAATAGCCACACTCTATAGTTACACCATTCCCACCATTCCCATCACAGGAAGACCATGTGTGCAGGGACTTAGTCATCTAATTTTCACTCTGATAAAGAGCACTGGGCTATTTGTGAGAGATGAAATGTATAAAACCAGTACAATAGGATGCCATTTTGCTTTGGTATATATTTGTTATTGCTTCAGAAATGTCCTTCTCCATGCACAAGACAAATGCAAGTTGTATTGGTGTCCTCTGTGAGGAGAATTAAATTATATATTCTCCCTAAAAAGTAGAAATGTCCTAAACAGTAAACTTAATATCCTCCAATAAACTTAAATTTCACTCAGTTCAAATTGGAAACCTATACTGTTCTCAGTCACCAGTCTACGATGGTGTAATCACAGTGTGTTCAAAGCTGTATTAAGTGTTCTTAGCTGTCAAAATACAAGCACTACCGACTGCCTGGCTGAAGGTGGTGGGAGTGTCTTGCTAAGAGGTTGACACTTGAGAGGTCATAAAAGGGAACAGTTGAAGGAGTTTACACAATGGAGAACTGGACCAGTTCACATTTGCATTTTAAAAGTGGTAGAGGGACCATGCTAAGAAGAGAAACACCAAAGAACAGAAATTAGAAGGGGATTCTGAAGTATGTAGATCACAGATGAGCACCAGCAAAGCCTCGGGTTATTGTCAGTGGTGCTTGTTGTATTTTGATGCAATGTATTTTCAGTAAATACTGTGTACATTCTCTTTGTCAAGATCACCCTCATACAAGACTGTAAAGATCCTCTTGAGCTGATGAAGGCAGAGATAAACGAGGAAGAACTTGATGTTCAGGACGAGGTATGGTCATTGTTTTCTTCTGTAGAGAATAACTAAAGTTAGCCTTGACTAAGCTGAGTAAAGAAGCAGTGAAGAGGTTTAAGAACCCACCTGTGGAAAATCCAGAAATATCTGAAAGGCACAGCTGCAAAGAAGAGAAGCAGACACAGGAAATTCCCTCAAGGATGACAAGGACTTGGGGAACTTCAGTCTCTGGCACATAGGGGTACATAGGCTAGTCCTGAGTTTATACTGAACTCAAAGCACACTTCTTCCTAGAGAGCTAAAGCTGTGGGGCAGGGAAAGGGAACAGAGGGGCTTCCTAACTCATGGTCACAGGGCCTTTCTTCATCTGACTGAACTCGGCTTACACACTTCCTCCTCACCAGGCTGAGGCTGTTTCAGGTGCTCTCAACATCAGACTAATCCTGGGAAGGTTGACTGAACTTGGAGAATCTGAGTAAACTTTAGGGCTTTACTTCTAAGAGAAATGGGAGCAACAATGGAAGATCAGAAAATTTATCATGAAATTACCAAAGGAAACATAAACAAAAAAAACTTATACTTGATCTTAGACAAAAGGCTGAGAAGTGATTCAAAGAGCTGGAGGTTGGACATTTCCTTAGAAACTGATAATGTGATATGCTAGCCCATGAAATCCCTCCTACACAGACCTGATCCACCTAATGGAGCTTTTCTGTGAACATTTCCAGACACTAGCAACCAGAGACTTCTCAAGGGAATGCTCCATAGTTAGAAATCCTCGTTAATTGCGACTATAAAAGTGAACTTGGCCTTTGTGTAAAAACTACCCAGCTATGCTTCCCTAGCAACACAGGCTTTCTCGTGGGCCAGACCATCCGTTGCTGATAGCAGCTCTGTTTCCACTAGACTCCAAGAGCACCTCTTTTAGTTCCTTCTGTCATTCTTCACAGACATGCAGTCTATCACTGTTTTGCTGGACAAAAACGGGGTCTAGAAGTAGTCAGGGTGCCGTGGAAACCATGCCATCATGACCATTTTGAGCTCATCAAGATATTTAAAAGATGGGTGTCTGCTTTTATTATAGTTACCTGAAAATCTTGGGCTCTACCAAACAGGAGTCCAGAAGACATGTTCACACAAACTGTGTTCACATTTTTACACAAACTGTGATGGTCCTGGGTTCTCCATTCATACTTAGGCAATTGGTATTTGCCTCAAATGCAAGATTACGTGCAGTTCTGCTAAACTGCACATTGATTCCAGTTTATTCACAGTTTTGGTTTGACTCTGTCATCTCATGTATTCACTTTCTAACCTGTGGGGCAGATAAGTCTGATAAGAAAGCTGTGGCTTTCCAGGTCCTGATGAAAAGCACTAGGTAGCAGTCAAACCCCTGTAGTAAAATCAGGCAGAGAATTTTGTGGAGAAAAGTAATGTCAGAATAAAACTCACAAGCCTGGTGTCTTGGCCCACCAGCTTAATAAGCCTATGAAAGTCATTATTAAACCAAGAAGCCCTTCCAGCTTTGGTAATTTATGACTCTCTGAGGTCCTGGGTTCAGTTCCCAGCCCAGAATAAGTGGGCATCATCATGTGCACCTAGGTTCCCAGCACTCTGGAGGAGGCCAAGAAGACTGGAAACTGAAGGGTATCCCCAGCTCCACCAGAAGCTCAAGGCCAGCCTGGGCTAGAGATCTTACCCCCAACAAACAAACAAACAGTCACACTGGGATAGCTACTAATCTCCACATAAAATGATCATTCTGCTATGGCCTCTAAGGTTATGAAGAACTGTTTGGGATTTGAAATCAGACAGACCTACAAGCTACCCTGAAGTCTGGTACTTACTGGCTAGCACAAGCCTGTTTGATTTCAGTATCTGCACGTGAAATAGGGACGGCAATACAGACTGGTGAGAATTAAAGGATGTATGTGAAAAGTAGTGTTTTGTACTTAGTGGCCTCTGAATGATAATCACTGCTTTACATAAAGCCAGTTAGACGTATGCTGAGTGTTGAAATTGTCCTCTCTCCTTTATTTGATGATACATTCCTAGCTGAAATTAAGCAATCAATACTAGAGAAACATATTTTTAAAAAGATAATGTAGCCCTATGAACTAAGTTGACTGATACTCTGTTTCCTCATTTCTTCCACAGGCCATGCGTAGACTTGCTTCCTGAGGGATCACTGTCAGCAAGGACAAAACATGGCCACCAGGACATGCAAGTCTCTGCAAGCGTTTTCTGCACTGACTACTTCTTTGCACTTAAACAGCCATCCTTCTACTGCTATGTTAAAAATATACACGTTTTAAAACTCTGTAGGCATTTCGCAAGAGACATTTGTCATTTTCATGTTTTAATGCAGGAACAAAACAGCTTAGCTCTAAAATACCCAAAACCATGAGAATCATCCCCAAGAATCAGCAATGTTACTCGGGCGTGATGCCACGGCAGGTTTGCTGTTTGTGTTCACAAGGGTACGGTCTATTCCTGTTGAGTTGCTGTAAGTGTTGACCTAACAGCCTCTATGGGCATGTGGGGTATGGAAGAGTAATCACAGAGATTCCTGACTGACCTTGAAATCTATGTGTGTGTTGATCACTGTGAGAAAGGCAAAATAGAATCACTGTGCACTCATTAATGAGCTTAAAAAATAAAACCAAGCCTTTAAAAATAATTTTGTCCAGATTTATTTTGTGTATGAGTGTAGTTCATAGTTCATAGTGTTTTTTTTTTCTTATATGTGTCTGTGCCGTGTGTGTGGTTGGTGCCCAAGAAGTTAGAAAAAGGCATCAGATTTCCTGGGAATGGAGTGATATTGCAAGATGATTATAGGTGTTGGGAATGAACCCAGGTCCTCTGCAAAAGGAATGAGTGCTCTTAATCACTGAGCTATCTCGCCAGTCCCTACAAACTGTTTTTCATTTGTTTGTCTTTGCTTTTTTTCAATGCAGGGCTTCTCTGTGTAGCCATGGATTAGCTGTGTCCTGGAATGCGCTCTGCAGACTAGGCTAGCCACGAACTAGTACTGAGATTAAAGGCCTGCACCACCATTGCCCTGCCATGGTCTCTATTTTTTAAAATATAGTGGTAGCTTATCTTTTTGTATCAAGTGCTCCTTGCATAATGGCAGATAAGCTCTCTTCTACTTAATACCTGATGTGAAAGCCAGGCATGGCAGCATTCACCTAAAATCCTACTGTGTTCCTAGCCCTTGAGAGGCTAAGGCGGGAGGAGCAAAGGTTCATGGTCGGTTGGGCAACATAGTTAGACCATATTTTTAAAAACTAACACGAGGTCAGCTTTGAACACATCCTTTTTGACAGAAGACAATGATGAGAATGATGACAATGATGAGAATGAGCTTTTCTCTAACTATTTAATAGTACTCAGAGAAAACAGAAATGGAATTCTAGCCACTTCAAAAATGATCTAAAAAGTAAACTATCCATAGTAGTCTATGTTTAAAGTGAGATTTGAGAGACAAAGCATTCTAATCAGTTAATATAAAAATTTTTAAAGGTTTGGAATATACACATTGGAAATGTGTATTAGAAATACACATTTTAACAAAGTGAATACAGTATAATTAATAAAAATGAAAGTAAACCCCTCAACTGAGGAATGGATACAGAAAGTATGGTACATCTACAAATGGAATGCTGCTCAGCAATAAAAAACAAGGAAATCATGAAATTTGCAGGTGAATGGTGGGAACTGGAAAAGATCATCCTGAGTGAGCTATCCCAGAAGTAGAATGACACACATGGTATATACTCACTCATATAGACATATAATATAGGATAAACGTACTATAATCTGTACACCTAAAGAAACTAATCAAGAGGGAGGACTCTGGCTAAAATCCTTAATCCCCATCCAGAAAGGCAAAGAGGATGGACATCAGAAGAAGGAGAAAACAGGGAACAAGTTAGGAGCCTGCCACAGAGGGCCTCTGAAAGGCTCTGCCCTGCAAACAATCAAAGCAGATGCTGAGACTTATGGCCAACCTTTGAGGCGATGGCAGGGAATCTTATGAAAGAAGCGGGAATTAGTAACACCTGGAGGGGACAGGAGCTCCACAATGAATGCAACAGATCCAAAAAATCTGGGCACATGGGTCTTCCCTGAGACTGATAGTCCAGCCAAGTTGCATGCATGGAGATAACCCAGAACCCCTGCACAGATGTAGCCCATGACAGTTCAGTCTCCTAGTGGGTTCCATAGTAATGGGAACAGGAACTGTCTCTGACAAACTGATTGGCCCGCTCTTTTATCACCTCCCCCTAAGCGGGGGAGCAGCCTTAACAGGTCACAGAGGAAGACAATGCAGCCACTCCTGATGAGACCTAACAGACTAGGATCAGAAGGAAGGAAAAGAAGACCTCCCCTACCAGTGTATTTGGAGAGGGGCATGCTTGGAGAAAGAAGAGGAAGGGAGGGATTGGGAGGGGAGGAGGGAGGGAACTACAGGGGGGATACAAAGCAAATAAAGTGTAATTAAAAAATATTTATTAAAAATTTAAAAAAAAATGAAAATAAAAAAGAAAAAAATACACATTTTTAAACCAGAATATTTCTTGCCTTTTTTTCCTACTTAACATTTTCTGAGTACCAACAACTCGTAGGTATCCATGTATAATATATTGGTATAGACAATATATAGGTTTTGGTCTTTTGCACTAAATATCTACCCCATACTGTACTTCATTTCTATCCTTGGCTGAGATGCTCAGCTTGAGACTCCATAGGGTGTGTGGAATTCCTAAGTGCTTGGTATCCCAAAGGCATAATGTTCTATTCTGTTCCTGGTTTCTTCTTAAATACGGCAAAAGCCATGTGTCAGCCCTGAAGGAAGATGATAGCCACCGCATCGAGGCAGCCAATCCTGCATTCTGCCTGTACCTAGCCCTAGAATCATACAGCTATCTCATTCTCATAGTGATACTTGCTTATTATTATATGCAACAAATCATATCTCTAAAGAGATAGGAGATAATATCTTGCAGAATAGAGTCTTGTAACTCTACGGTGGATCCATGGTGACTATGGAAGACAGTGTCGCAGTGCACTCTAGGAATACTCGTGCATTTTATGAATAACAAATTTTCACCTAGGAAAATTTAACTTGAAATTAAAGTTGTCCTAACCTACAGGATGATTCCAGTATTACATATAAAATTAAATATCACTGAGAAAAAAACCAACACATGCAAATCTGGAAACATTTATATGTATTATTTAATAAGTATAAGGTCATCATTTGTTTTGGCGTTGGTGCTTTCTTCTTTGAGACGGGGTCTCGCTTTGTCCAGGCCAGCTCAAGCTGGAGACAGACCATCTCGGCCTCCTCAGTAGGGAGCCTACAGGAGTGTGTCACTAAATCTGGCCCTCATGTTACCTTCTGTACCACCCAATTGCGTCTTCTCTGGGAAAGCTGTTACAGACACCTTAAATCCTGCCTCCCAGGCTTGCCACTGCTCACCACTGTTTTCGTGTCCTCTATCTCACCTCCACGTGGGCCACGTCATCACAGACTACAGACTAGTCAGTGCCGCAAACCCTGTTCCCCATAAATCTTAGTGAGCTCTGCCACTTCTCACCCGAATTACTTCCAGACTTTTTTATACAATAGCGTTCATCATTTTAAAGCAAGCTTTTCAGCCCACTACCACATGAGTGCACACACACACACACACACACACACACACACACAAACACACACCCTCTCTCTTTGTACAAATTATAATGTGCTTGGAGAAACTTCACAAAACAAGTACATCACAGTTTATGCCTATATTAACACTCAGACATGCCCTGCACCCAGAACCCCCCGTATTATCCTAGCCATTGCCACTAGAATGACAGCTGTCTTATTTCTAAAACCTGTTGTATTGATAAGACTTGAGCTGTGCAGCCAAGGCTGCCCTCGAACTAGAGATTCTCCCATCTCCCTCTCTCGAGTGCTGGGATTGCGAATATATATCACCATACCTGTGAAAGGGTTAGACTAACTTTGTAACCTGTATGTCTTCTAAAGCCTATAGTTTTGAGTTTTAGGTTCAGGTTAAGCTAAAGCCTCTTAGTACCTTTCCAGAGAATAAAAAAAATGTGACCCTATCTATGAGGACAGATAGAAAAAAAGGCAAGCAAGCAATGACCTTCACTCAGCAAAAAGAAAAACTCCTGTCTTTGAGATAGCATTTCTTAGCAACAAACCTAGACTTCTTCTGAGTAGCTTTTGACCTCCAGCCAAAAGTCTGTAGCCCCTAATCTTCAATGATGAGCTAACCACCCCCACCTTCAATTGCAGCTGCATCCACACTTGGCAGGACTGGCCAAGCTTGAGCACCTAAGACTAACCAATTATCTTACTTTATAGCTTCCTCATCCAATCCTAAATTGCCAAGACTGCAACTTCAAATCTCCCGCAATTTTTCTTTTAAAAACCTAAAGGCCTTTGTCTCCCAGTGCCACTCTTTGCTGACCGGCAGAGGTGACCCCATTGCGCAATGGTTAATAAACCTCTTGCTTTTGCAAGGAGTCTTGGTCTGGGGGAGTTTCTGGGAAGGGCACGATCTTGAACTCCTGAGCTGTGAGACCCCAGGTCTTACACCTGCTAAAACCTGTTTCATTTGAACTGCAATAAATATAACTATTTCATTTCCCCTTATCTTTTGTATTTATCTTACTTGCTAGAATCATAGATTCATCTGCCTTTGCATCATCTGCCATCCACGGGCTCTCCTAGTAGGTGGTGTTCTACTGTTCAAATATTAAGCTACTCACTTGGTTTTGATTAGTGTGTTGTTTGTGGTTTTGGTTTTCATGAATAGTGCTATGCTATGGACATTCCTGTGAGGTATTTGTCCATGTTTCATAAATATTGGGGTGCTCTATTGGGGACTTAGGTCTCCAAGTTGACAGTCAAGAAAATTAAAGTTATTCTGCATCTGTGTCAGGCAAGCTGTATGAAGTGTCTGGTTTTAGGTAGAACAGGACATACTTGTGCAAATAACATATAAACAGTAAAATATTAGGCACTTTAGTTTAATTATCCGAACTTCGCCCACCAGAAAGCCGCATAATGATAAAGAAGTTTCTGGAAAGGATGGGAGAGACAGAATTAGGTATAGTTAGGGGAGAAAGGAACAAAATGCTGGGATAATGTGAAATCAGAAGCATATACGTTTTTGTTTGTTTGTTTTCCTTTTGCCCCCTTCCCATGCTAGAATGTAACGCCCACCCTGGCAGGGTTCTTTTATTTTGTTCCAGCCCCCAGAAGAATGAGTGCCCACACACATTAGATACTCAATAAGCACTTCTAGATGACTCAGTAAAACAGCAGTTTGCAACGCCGACTAAGGCTAACATGAGTAAAGAATGGCAGTCTGTCTTCCAAGATGGCAATGTTTTCTGAACTTTCAGGGCTATAGCTAAGTGTTACCGCAACTCAGCTGCTTGCTTACCTGGTTTCCGGGAGAAGGGCTGGAGACTGACTCTGATGCTAAGAGAACATTGCTGCTGCTCCAGTAACTGAGGACCTCAGCCTGTGAATACACCAACTGTTTCATCCTTTTCTTTGGGGATACTGTTGGCCTTACTGTTTTTTTTGTGTAAGCTCTTGTAGCTTGAAGCCAATAACAATGTATTGTTGG